TATATATATATATATATATATATATATATATATATATATATATATATATATATATATATATATATAGATATATATATATATATATATATATATATATATATAGATATATATATATATATATATATATATATATATATATATATATATATATATATATATATATATATATATATATATATATATATATATATAGATATATATATATATAGATATATATATATATATATATATATAGATATATATATATATATATATATATATATATCTATATATATATATATATATATATATATATATATATATATATATATATATATATATATATATATATATATATATATATATATATATATATATATATATATATATATATATATATATATATAGATATATATATATATATATATATATATTTTTTTTTTTTTTTTTTTTTTTTTTTTATTTAACATCTTCACTTCCAACAAGGCTGCAAGCAACCACTATAAGAGTTGGAAGTTACTGGAAGAGAAAAGACTAAATCTGTAGAGCAAGATAACGATTGACTGATGACTTAAAAGATTGCAAATTATATGAATCAGGAAAGCAAGATGAAGGAAGCGAATTCCAAAGAACTGATGTTCGAGGAAAAAAACTAGAAGAATAAGAGTTTTTGAAGCACTTAGGAACAGTCACAGAAAAAGGATGAGACTTAATTGAATGGCGAGTAACACGAGAATGAATTTTAGTAGATGGCACAAGGGACGCTAGCTCTTTAGAGCAGTGCCTATTATAGTATTTGTAGAAAAGAGAAAGAGAAGCAACATTACGACGATGTGACAAAGGTTGGAGATTGGCTGCCAGAGCAGGTCCAACTATGTTTACAATTCGTTTTTGCACCTTGTCTAAAAGAGAAAGAGCATCATTAGAAGATCCGCCCCAGATGTGGCAACAGTATTCCATACAGGGACGGATTTGAGATTTATAGAGATAGAGAATAGAATCTGGAGTAAGAAAGTGTCGAGCTCGATAAAGAGATGCAACCTTAGCAGATGCTAATTTTGCAATGGATTTGATATACGGTTTAAAAGAAAGATCAGAAGTAAGAGTTAATCCTAGAAGATGAATGGTAGATGACTCATCTAGTACATTACCATTCATAAATATAGGAAGATCTAAATTATTACGATAACGATTGGCCGAATAAAATTGAGTTTTATCTGAATTAAAGTTCACCAGCCACTGTGAGCCCCATGCTGTAGCAGAAGTGAGATCCTTTTCAAGCTCAGATACCCCCTCCAAGCAATCAGAGAGTGTAGGCTTCTTATCATGACAAGAGTAAATGGTAGTGTCGTCGGCGAATAATGCCACCTTAGATGTGAGAATATCTGGAAGATCGTTAATGTAAATTAAAAAGAGTATAGGGCCAAGGATTGAACCTTGAGGAACCCCTGAAGTTACAAGATGTGAAGAAGAGTGTTGTCCATCGAGGACAACTTTTATACTACGATTGGAAAGAAAGGACTCAATAATCTTAAAGACGTTACCAGCTACACCATAAGAAGAAAGCTTATGGAGAAGACCAGCATGCCAAACTTTATCAAAAGCTTTAGAAATGTCAAGTGCGATAGCCTTAACCTCTCCACCTCTATCTAATGCACGGTAAAACCTATCGGTTATTACTGTTAGCACATCAGCTGTAGAACGAGAAGACCGAAATCCATATTGATGATCAGAAAGTAAGTTATTTGATTCAAGATGAGAGATTAAGTGTTTGTTGATTAAAGATTCAAAAACCTTGCTTATGACAGGAAGAAGACTAATGGGACGGTAGTTAGATGAATCAGATCGCTCTCCGGAATTTTTGAAAATAGGGATAACAGATGCTGCTTTCCAGCATGATGGAAAACAAGACTCTGATAAGCACTTGTTAAATAGTTTAGAGAGTATGGATGAAAGCTCAGGAGAACACCTCTGCAAGACTACAACAGGAATGTTGTCAGGACCACAAGCTGTTGAAGAGTCTAAGCAGGAAATTACTTTAGATACAGAAGCTGAAGTGATGCGAATGTCAAGCAAGGGATCAACCTGTTTGACGGCTATGTCAGGTAAAACGCAACTAGTGGAATCAAGAGATGATATTGATGAAAAGTTCTTAGCAAACAATTCAGCTTTGTATATATATATATATATATATATATATATATATATATATATATATATATATATATATATATATATATATATATATATATATATATATATATATATATATATATATATAGATATATATATATATATATATATATATATATATATATATATATATATATATATATATATATATATATATATATATATATATATATCTATATATATATATATATATATATATATATATATATATATATATATATATATATATATATATATATATATAGTAGAATATGTGTTGAAATTTTCAGGATGATCCTATTCCTCTTGGTATTTATAATTATTGAGAGTTAAAATTCTTATAAACTTTTAAAATTTTTTAATTTTAATTTCAAATTTCAATCGCAAAATTAAGGATGTCAATTAATTTTAACAAATTTAACAGTTGAGTAAATTAATTTTAGTTACAGAGATTTAAAGTAATTTCAATTGTAAAAAATTTTCAATTGAGTAAAAATCTCCACACAAGAGAGCAAATGATCAAATTTTTATTAAAAAAGATAAATTTAGCATGACCTAATATATGACACCTAATAAAAAACTTTTTTTTATTAGGAGTCACCCTAACCCTGACAAAAATATTAATTTTAAAAATGGCTAAAAAAAATTTAGAAAATAAAAAAATATATATATAAAATTAAAAAAACAAATTAAAAAAATATTATTTTTAAGAAAAAACTAATTGCATAAGTGTGAAAATCAGTCGCAATTTGGGATAACAATATGCTTAATTTGAGCCCTGCCTTTATTACCTTATTTTTACAGCATATACTGTCATGAAAATTTTTTTTTCAATTTTTGATTTAGATGTCCCATAAAGACCTAACATCATACTTAATATAAATGTTCTCTTGCTTCTAATGAAAGCGCTCTAATTACTCTGCCACAACTGCCACAACTGCCTAATTTCTGCTCGTTCTGCACAACCGATATAAAGACATTTCAAAGCCATATTAAAGCACAATAGGCTATTTTATGCTTGGTCCTTGAATTTTTTGCGCTCTAAGGCAGGGCTCGAATTAAGCGCCGGACATAGGACAATGTTCAATACTTGTCCGTTAAAAAATGACATCCGTCGGTCATTTTGTCCAACATGGATTTTATGTGCATTTATTTTCTAATTATTATAGTTGTTCCAAAAGTTATTAATAAATTTAGTTTTGTATATAAACTTTAATTTTTGAACTTTTTTTTTTATACATAAGTTGAACACACAGCTACGTTAATAAAATACGTTTATTTTTTTAATTCATCTTTTAAAAGACGACAAAGCATTGCATTATTTTGAATTAAGTAGCTCAGTTTTTATCATTGATATTAAAACGTTGCAATTAGTTATTAATTTAAATTTATAGTTTAGTATTTATTTTATTTTTTGTACAATGGTTTTTATAAATTTCAAACAAACATTTTAGTTTTTAAAACCCCATTTAATTTTTGTTTTATAAAAATTTTAACATAATAGTTATTTTAATAGTTTGATAGTTACGCTTATAGAAACCAATACTTTTTATTACACTATTTAATTTGAGTTGTTATGTAACATTGGTTTTTGCGCTAAAAATGTTCACTATTAAAGGGACCACCAAATCTTGAGACATGTTGTGTTCATATTAAAGAGAATGTTGAAAAAAAACGTCTGAGCAAATTTTTTTTGATTAAAATTAATTAATCATGTTGTTTTAGTTGAAGCTAGTCTTCTCCATTTTCTGCAGTATTTGGAGTCTTTAAAATAAACACGATTTTCCAGGCGCATTATACAGACTAGATAATTTATTCAAGTGTGTTTAATTCATAGAAGTTTTAGTCAGATTTTTTTGTTTGTTTGTTTAAAACACCGATTATTATTTTTTACATGCAATTTCCAAATCATATTCATTTTCATTATATTTTAAAGTTCTAAAATGTGTTTTTAAAAAAATTAGAAACAAAAAAGTATTTTTTTTGTGCAACTTTTTTTAAATAATAGTCTAGACCACATGTATTTTGATTTTTTTTTTTTAAGTTTTTCTTTCAAAATATTAGATAAAATACTTTTTAACCTAAAATAATAATGCACTTTTATTAATTTGCTTTATAAGTATTAAAAAAAAATTAATGCATTTTTTTCAAAAATGTATTTTTTGGTATTGAGGTTATCTTATTTCATTACTTATATTTCCATTATTATAACATCCAATATATATTAAAGCGAGGGCTTAAAAATTAAAAAATTAATATATATTAATTTTTGTTTTACGCACATACATGAAAACATAAAGAATTTCTAGAATGTTTCCAATGACATCATGTACTAAAACTCCTATGAATTAAACGCACTTGAATAAATTATCAAGTCTGTATAATGCGCCTAGAAAATCGCGTTTATTTTAAAGACTCCAAATACCGCAGAAAATGGAGAAGACAAGCTTCGTTAAAACAACAAGATTTGTTTTTCTTGGTATACATTAATTAATTAGTTTTAATCAAAAAATATTTGTTAAGACGTTTTTTTTTAACATGCTCTTTAATATGAACATAACATGTCTTGGGACTTGGTATATATATTATATATATATATATATATATATATATATATATATATATATATATATATATATATATATATAATATATATATATATATATTTATATATATATATATATATATATATATATATATATATACACACACACACACACATATATATATGCACTCCCACATATATATATATATATATATATATATATATATATATATATATATATATATATATATATATATATATATATATATATATATATATATATATATATATTATAAAATCATACCCGGTGCGAAAAGCATCAGCCAACTTTAGGAATGCTGAATTAACAAGTATAGGATAAGGATGTCTTTCTAATAATGCTGGAACATGAACAATAGCTCCACATTGCTCACCTGCTTTTCCACTTCGAAGACCTAAACACAAACTGGTTAATAAAAACTACTAGTTATTTATTATGGTTAAGAGATATGAGAAAAATGAAAAAGAAAAATGAATTTCTTCAACTATATTTTATATTATTTGAAAAAATTAAAAACAGAACAGCAGAAAAAAATGTAAATAACTATGAAATTTAATAATTACAATCAAATCCAAGTCAAAAATATAGTATTAAAAATAAGGCTTTTATGTTATTATTTTATTTTATGGATTTTTTATGTCAAAAGTGTATAACTTAATTTGAATAATATTTTCTATGCATTATAAAAAAAATCCAGAAACAACCATGCACCCTCATCTTCAACCATGCACCCTAACATTCTGACTAAAAATCAAAATTAATCAAAAAAAATCAGAAAAATTTAAATACTAAAATATTTACGAATTATTGTTTAATATTACTAAATTTATTATTGTTTATTATTACTAAAAGATAATAAAAATAAAAAAATAAAAATAAACCTTAATAAATTACAGTTTTTGATGCTGATAAAGAGATTCAAGTTTAGTGCACTCTTCCCCTGAAATATTTATAAAAATTATACTGATCTTATCATAAAGACGAAGAAAAAAAAAGAAGGATCATATGATCTTATCATAAAGCCCTTTACAAAATTATTTATAAGAAAAATCCAAGAATGAAGATAACTCCAAATCAAAGAATGAAGATAACTCCAAATCAAAAAATGAAGATAACTCCAAATCAAACAATGAAGATAACTCCAAATTAAACAATGAAGATAACTCCAAATCCAAGAATGAAGATAACTCCAAATTAAAGAATGAAGATAACTCCAAATCCAAGAATGAAGCTAACTCGCTATCAATATATTACTATTATTATGACATTATTATTATTTATTATTACTAAAAGCTGATTAAAATAAAGAAATAAAAATAAACCTTAATAAATTATAGTTTCTGATGCTAATAAAGAGATTCAAGTTTAGTGCACTCTTCCCCTGAAATATTAAATAGCAATGGATAAATGAATAATATAGTTATGCACTTGTTGTTTATTAAATCTATGTCTAGCTTTATATATAATTCAAATACTTTAGCAAATTTTATGGAGATGCTATCCATTTATTGTTTCCAGGTTTGCCTACAAAAAAATCCAAGAAATATTGTACCTTTTTCCATTTTTAATATGAGAAAACAGCCTACCAATAAAAACTCCAGAAAAAACAGCCTACCAATACCTGACATTTGTAGGCTGTTTTATCAGGAGATTCTGTAAAAAAGTGTCCATTAAGTTTTATTATTATTTAAAGGCAATTTATTTTTTTAAAACCAATATAAGATTTTGTTAAATTCTTTTGTCATATTATATAAAAGCATATTATATGTCATATTATATAAAAGCATACTTAAGTTTTCTTGAGACAGAATAGGTTTAAAACTTATTGCAGTTAAGTTAGAGACTTTGCAAAGATTATTAATGTATATTAAAAATAAGAGAGGCCCAATAAAAACAATAGAGGCTTAATTAAATATCCTTGTGAACAAAGAAGAGCCTTTGATATTAAAAAGTTGTGATTCTTAAGAATTGTTTTTGAGTCAGCTTTAAAATCTTTTTGAATCAAGGGACTTATCTCTAACCTCATCTCTTATCTCATCTAAGAGTTCTAAATTTTAAAATAGAATAGCGATTGATCAAAAGCTTTAGACAAACTGATAAATATTATTAGTATATGATGAGAATTTATAAGAATCAGAAATGCTGCATGTTAGTTAGAATATGGTGTGCTCAGTTATCTAAACAAGTTTTTTAAACTTAAAAACTGTTATTTAAAATATACATTTGGAAAACCTCAATGCCATCCACCCACTCACTCACCCACTACTAAATATACCACTATATAAATATAGAAGTATATTTATAGGTTTCAGAAACAAAGTTTTTTAAAATTTATAGTGAGATTAAGTGACACTGTTGCAATATAATCAGTTCTAGATAACATATTCAAAAAGGTTTGCTGTTATTTCTTGCAGATGCATTTGCAAATGAACAAGCAATAAAAAAACAAGGATGTGGAGTCCCAAAAAGGACTTTAGATTTGTAAGTAAAAAAAAAAGATTATTTAAGAACCTCTAAATCCAGAAGCTCCAAAATTGCAAATAAGCTTATGGACTATTAAAAAAAGATTAAGACTTTTAGGCTAGATGAATTTTTAAACTCGGGACCTTTTAGCATAATGTCAGAAAAGACTCCAGGACTCCGGGCTGATAATTAATAGTGAATGACATAGATTTATAATAAATTATTATTCAAAAAAATTTCTTTAAATGAATTTAATTACTATGATGATGAAATAAAAGATGTTATTTTTTGTTAATGTAAAAATTACAAATAGTAATTGTGATAAACAAGAAATTATAAGTTAACATGCTTTACAATTAATCAACAATTTATTGTGTTTTCTGGGTTTTAAAGGAGTTTTAACTCAACTACAAGAAAATAAACTTGAAATTATGATGCATGATTCAGAACTTCTAAATACATGTATGTAGTGACCAAAAATTTAAAGATAATTTAGATTTTTAAAATTAAAATACAAATGGCTTGGTGAAATCATAAAAAGTATTTATTTGATATAAATTCTGTGTTTAAAATTAAAATCATGTGAATTCAAAATCAATCAAATAAATAATGCTTTTAACTGAATATAATTGTCATCAATTTTTTTAATCAGTTTTGATCATTGATTTTTTTTTAAATGATTTTTAACAAAACAAAAAAAAATTGCAAAAAAATAGGGTATGAAGTAAAAAAATTACAAATTACAACTACCTTATGAGAAAAAATTAAAACATCTAACATAAGAATGTTAATAAGGTTCTTTTTGTACATTTAGCACCAAAAGTGTGATCCATATAAATGTCAAAGAGAGGAATGTTAGTAATGCAAAAACTTATGTTTTAATAACGTTATTGATGATCTTGTAAGTAAAACATTTACGTAACGTTTTTAGATCCACATCATCGAACAAATATTAATAAATCAAAAAAAGACAAAAATAGAATTTTTAGACCTTATTTTTGGAAAACCTATGCACATGGCTTGCATTTTTTTAATAACCACAACATTTTTTTTTATTAGAAATGTACACTTTCATAAAAAAATGTTAAATAGCTAAAATAATTTTGAATATTTTTGACAAATAATTATTTTTTACTAACAATCAATTACAATACTTAATAATAAAGTATTTAAATACATCGCAATTTTCTTTAAAAGCAAGAACTATAATCAGTAAACCTTTTTCTAACTCCATTAATGCAGCATTTGAATCTTGGTTTTGAAATTCCTGATGGTACATTTATAATGAATGATGAATAATTTTTTATTTCAAGTTTTTTAGTTAGCTTTTTTTCTTTTCCCCTTATATTTTTATCCGCTTAAAAAAACGCAGAGTAAATCTCGAGTAAAACGTAAAAATAAGGAAGTTAAGTTAAATAAATACGGATTGTATGAAAAAACATATCGACTCCTTTCCGTTTGAACGGGTCACGATAACAACTCGTTATCAATTTTTATCTAAGCAGTATCAATATAGTTATGTTATTTATTTATCATTGTAATGGCTTTTTTATTTTCAACAAAGCCAGTGACAGATCCAGGAGGGGAATGGGGTATGCATCTTAAAAATAGAGGACCTTATTTTTTAGGAGACGCGAAGGTGATACAAAATACCAAAATATTTCAACATCCACACTCCCCCCCCCCCCCCACACACACACCACCACCAAAAATTAATGGATCCCTTACTGAACAAAGCACTCAGTGCTTTAGATGAAATTTAAAGCAACTACCACGTTAATACAACTATTTCGCAATGTGTAACTACTTAACAACTTGTTGTTTTACCGATATGTGAAAAAATAAACCACTTCTTTTTTAAGTATTTATTAAGTGCAGTCTGTTTACACAAAAGAAATTTTTAAACAAAAATTATAAAGACATCCAAACAAACCCTTTCAGAGCATACACGAGATTGAGTAGTTTTAAGGTTGGTGCCCCCAAAATCACGATTTTCTATTCAATATTTAAACAATCAAACCACACAATAGAAACCCAGGCTAAATAACCCAACAGACTCTGATAGGGTCTGCACGTAACGTTTAACAACACGATCAATTAACGATGTGGTGAAAATATTCACTCAATACAATATATACTTGTCAAAAACACACCATAAGACAATGACGTTAAAACCAAAAAATAATACAAAAAATTTTTAAGTAAAAAATAATTATATAATAAAATAAGGCTTCAAAAAATTACAAATTTAAATAAGAATGAATTTTTAACAAAAAAAAGTCGCATATTAAACAACAGTATGAGTTTTAGATGGCTTGCTTATAGCTTCGTATGCTTCCTGCCAAGCAGCAGTATTCTAAAAGAAAT